CTTTAAAAAAAAAAAAAGAATTATTTAATTTTATTTATTGTGTTTTGTTTTTTGTTTTTTTTTTTTTAATTTGACCAGAGAGTGACAGAGAGAGAGAAACAGAAAGAGAAAGGGAGAAAGCAAGCCACCAGGTCCAGGACTCGAACCTTGGTTGACCATGTAGAAGTCTAGTACTTCAACCACCATGCCAGCTGCCAGCCCTTATCTGCCTGTTTTTTTGTTTGTTTGTTTGTTTTTCTTTTTTTGGAGAGGTTTTTGCTATAGGGCGCGTGTGCTTGCCAGAAAGACAGAGCGAGACAGAGAGACAGAAAGTGAGAAATCACCTCCCGGGGAGATGGCCATGCTGCAATCCCTTCTCCTCCTCTCCTCTCGGGATCTTGGGCACGCACGCACAGGCGCCTCGCGTGAGTTTAAGCCACCGGGTCCAGGACTCCAACCGCTGTTGACTATATGGGAGTCCAGCAACATAGCCATTATGCCAACTGCTGGTCCCTTATCTGCCTGGTTTTTTTAATTGGATGGTTTGTCTTTGCTTTTGTCTTTTGTCTGTTGTTTGAATTGCGCATATTTTTCCCAGACTATCAGTTGTCTAGACCAGTGTTCCTCAACTGTAGCAATACTTACATTTGGGGCCAGATAATTCCTTGTTGTGAGAGGAGTCTGCCTGTGTATTATAGGATGCTTAGAAGTATTCTTGACCCTTTCTCAGTTTTAACAACCAAAAGTGTTTCTAGATACTGCCAAATGTCCCCCGAGGGAATGGGGAAAAATCACTCCTGATTAAGAACCAGTGATCCTGGGACTTGAACCATGATTAAGAACCACCAGCAGGTGGCGTGCTGGTTATGATGCTGGATTCCCACATGGCTGACTCCATGATTTGAGTCCCAGATCCAGCAGCTTGAAAATCGTGGTCGGTGCATGGGCATGTGTGCCCTTAAATCCCTACAGGAGAATAGAAGAGAAGGGACTGTGGCACGGCCGTCCCCCTCTGCACAGTGATTCTCACTTTTCCTCTCTCTGTCTTTCTCTGGTAAGTGTACACACCCTATAGCAAAAAAAAAAAAAGTAAAAAAGAAGCAGTGGCCTAGACTCTACTAAAGTTGTCTTTTGTTTTTTACTTTTTTATTTTTTAATGCCAGAAGACGTGTGTCCACATACGAGAGAGGAGTGGGAGAGAGAAAGTACCTCCAATCAGGCCTAGTCACATCGCAATCCCTCTTTCCTCCATTTTCCCATCCCATCAAGATCCTGAGCACCCATGCACGTACCTTGTGTGTTTTTCAGGCTGCCAGAGCTAGGATTCATACTGCAATCAGTCATGTGGGATCCAGCTCCCTCTGGTAGTATTTAACTGCTGGGCTACAAGGATGACCCATGGTGTCTTTCTTTTTTGTTTATCTTATGGGGCCAGCAGATGGCATAGTGGTTACGTCACTCGACTCTCACATGGCTGACTCCAGTTCTGAAACTCATGCCGGAAGCATGTGCATGTGTGCTCAAGATCCTGGGAGGAGAATAGAAGAGAAGGGATTGTGGTGTGGCCATACCCCAGGGGATGATTTCTCACTTTCCCTCTCACTGCATGTGTCTCTCTGGTGAGTGCATGAGCCCTAAATAAAAACCTCTAAAAAAAAAAAAAAAAGATTTATTTTATTTTATTTATTGTTATTTTTTTTTAATTTGCTATAGGACACATGCACTCACCAGGGAGACAGAGAAAGAGAGAGAGAGTGAGAAAACAAGCTTCCAGGCCTGGGACTCGACCCATGGTTCGCCATGTGGGAGTCCAGCGCCTTAACCACTATGCCACCTACTGGTCCCTTCCATGGCGTCTTTCTGTCATTTGAATTTGTGTGCTTTTAGAAGAAGTTAAGTATCTGTCTTTTCCTTTATATCTTCTAGATTTCCTGGCTTGCTTAGTAACATTTCTCCCCACCCCAGGATTATATAAATATTGTTCTAAGTTCTCTTCTAATGTTTTGTAGTTTTTAATGTTTAAATATCTAGACCATCTGGAATTTTCCTTTCTATTTGATAGAATAATTTTTTCCCCCAGTTATTAAGCAAACCACCCTTTCCCCACTGAATTGAAATGTCCACATTTAGTGCGATATTGAAATGCTTTTAGATGGGGCTCCTTCCTGGAAGCATTCATAAGCTTCTGTCTGCTGAATCTCCACAGGGAACTGGCAAGTCTTCATCTTTGTTGCTGGCACCATGGCTCTTACAGGATGTTAAGAAGGAAAAAAAAAAAAAAGTATATATATGTTTTTTTCTGTTATCGGTTTCAGCCCAGGGATCTTTGAGAAAAAGTTGGATTCATCTTTCTCCCCATAATCCTGCTGTGGCTGTTGTATTAAAGTTATTTTAAGGAGCAAGAAAGTCATGGCAATGTGATTAAGCCACCTTCTTCCTAGACCCTAGACTCTCTTCTTCCTGTTAGGTTCTTTTTTAATGGAAAGAGAGGGTGATTCTATTCCTCTTAGAACATCTTGAAAACTCCTTTTAAAGTTCTAATGTATCTCTACCTACATACTACTCATACCTTCCTTAAATTCAGCTTAAAATAAAACCAGCTGCCACATAGTAGGTCCTTAATAAATATTTGCTGAATAGATGAAGTAAGACTAACAATGTGTTTAAATTTAAAGGATTACTGTCTTGGTTTAAGACATTATGATGTGAAGAGAATGCTTGTTAAAATGTAGAACTTCAGGCTCTGAGGCTGTGATCCAGTAGTAACATAACTGGACCCACATGGGAATGGTCCTAGGTTATATCCCAAGACCTCCATGAGCACATTGAACACATACATGTGCCCATGATCTGAGCTGACTGAGACTAGGATGGATTGTGGCATGAAGACCCTGTTGGGAGTGGCTGTCTCCCTTTCTGTCTCTCTGTCTGTCTGTCTCTCTCTTTTAAAGAAGAAATACACTTTTGAAAAATGCAGGTAACTTGAGTGATGATAATAAATTCACTCTTTCAGTAAAAATAAAACATTTCTAGGGCCAGCAGATGGTGTAATGGTTACATCACTAGACTCCCATGTAGTTGACTGTGGTTCAAGTCCTTGGTGGCTTCAAATTCACACCAGGCACTTGTGCGTGCATGCCCAAAATCCTGAGAGGAGAATGGAAGACAGGGATTGTGGCATGGCCACCCCCCTGGGGATGATTTCTTGCTTTCTGTCTCTCTGTCTTTCTCTGATGAGTGCACACGCCTTATGGAAAAATCTCTCAAAAATAAAAAAAAAAAAGAAAACAAACAAACAAACATTTTTGTCAACCAGCTGTCATCCTTGGGTCATGCTAATCTAGGCAGTCCAGGAAATCACCAGTGTTTTCTCGTGACCCTAGGTGGCCATGGGCCTGCCTATCACCCAGAGTTCCCCAGCTCTCAGACCAGTGCTGGTCTGTCAAGCAGTGCAGGTGAGGGTGGGCAGGAAGTGAGCAAGCAAGGCTTTGTGTTTGCAGCCACTCCCCATTGATCACATTGCCACCTGGGCTCCACCTCCTGTCACATGAGCTGCAGTACTGGATTCTCATGGGACGGGAACCCTACTGTCATGTAATTGTTTCATCATATATTGCAATGTGGTAGTGGGGGAAATGGGATGCATGGTGGGTGTGATGCACTTGGGTCATTCTGAGACCAACCCTGGTCCATGGAGGAATTGTCTTCCCTGAGGCCAGTCCCTGGAAGGTTGGGGACCACTGACTTGGGGTAGCAGGTTCTACTCCTAAAAAGAAAGGAAAAGTAGACTTGGGGAGAAGTGATCATCTGTTAGAGAGACCTGTCTTTGGAGCAGTTTGACTACTCATATTCCTTTGAGGAATTCCATTGATTTTGATTTTTTAATTTATGGTTGTATGTATTTTTAGGCTGTAGTGTCAAGCAATCGTGGAACAGTAGAAGACTTCTTCCTGGCTGGCCGGAAACTCACCTGGTGGCCGGTGAGTAAGCCTTGCCTGTGGTAATCCACTTCGGGGCCGTGTGTTAGCCCGTTTATTACTAATTTAGATGTCTTGTACCCGAAATTCATAAGGTCTTCAAAAAGTCATGGAAAACATATATTATGAAAAAACAATGCATGACTTTCAAAAAAAAAAAAGCTTTTGCACCAAAATAAACTTGTACTTTAATTTCATTTCCACTTATTTTTATTTTTTTATTTTTATCCTTTTTTTTCTTGGTTTTTCTTTGCCATAGGATGCATGTACTCACTGGAGAGAGACAGAGAGAGGAAAAGTGAGAAATCATCCCCCAGGGGGATGGCCATGCTGTAATCCCTTCTCCTCCCATTTCCTTTCAGGATTTTGGGCAGGGTGCACATGTACCTGGAGTGATTTTCAGGCTACGTAGTCTGAGAGTCAAACCACAGAGTCAGCCATATGGGTGTCCAGTGCCTTAACTACCACACCACCTGCTGGTCCTCTATTGACTTTTTCTTTTCTTTTCTTTTCTTTTCTTTATTTTGGAGAGGTTTTTGCTATAGGGCATGTGCACTCACCAGAAAGAGAGAGACTAAGAGACAGAAAGTGAGAAATCACCCCCCTCCCCAGGGGAGATGGACACATCGCAATCCCTTCTCCTTCATTCTCCTCTTGGGATCTTGGGCACGCACACACGCACACATGCACGCACATATTTCTGGCATGAGTTAAGCCACTGGATCGGGGACTACATGGGAGTCCAGCGACATAGCCATTACGCTAACTGCTGGTTCTGACTTTTTCTTTTTTTGAGAGAGCATGTGCACTCACTGGAGAGACAAACAGAAAATAAAAAATCATCCTCCAAGGGGGATGGCCACTCCAAGATCTCTTCTCCTCCATTCTCCTCTTGGAATTTTGGGCATCCACACACGTGCACCTGGCATGAGTTTCAAACCACCAGGTCTGGGACTTGAACTGCAGTCAACTACTTGGGAGTCCAGCACCTTAACTTCTATGCCACCTGCTGGACCCCCTCCACTAACTTTTTTAAGCTTCCTTATAATTTGAAGTTGCTAAAGCAAGACTAGTACCTAATTAGTAATTCCCTTAACTCTCAAGTAGTTTCTTATATACATATTTCCATTTAACTCAGTTCTGTAACCACTTATTAGCTGCTAGTATGTACGAGGCATTGTGACCGGTTTTAGGACACAGATAGGAAGTAGTCCTGGCTCTGAACGCACAGAATCTCGAATGGGAGGTAAGCACACATTCAACTAATTATAGAATATTACCATACAGGATCGTAAGTCTAATAGCTGCACGGGCCAGGCATAGGTGAAAGGTAAACTAAGGCTTTCTGGGAGGAGAAAATAGGTCTATATTACCAGATAAGGAACTTCTTAGAGAGGCAGGGTTGTTGGAGCACAATTGGGGATGGAGCAGAGTTGGGGATGAAGCAGGTGTTTGCCAGGAGACAGTGTTAAGGCATCCAGGCAGAGGGACTAACATGCCAAAGCACGAGGTGTGGAACACCATGATGCCAGAGGGAGGGAGGGAGACGCGCTGTTAGAAACGTTTTCGTTGTTCATATGTTAAATAATTGCTTGATCAAACAGTGAATCCTTCTGAAGGAAGTGATTCAAAATCCACAGCAGTGGAGACAGCAGCCTGTCCACAGCCCTGTATCCATGATGGGGTGGCTGGGGACACTCTAGGGAGGGGCCGGATGTAGGTGACCCATGCCAAACCAGAGCCAGGGCTGCTTTACATCTTCTTATGTAAAAATATACGTGCATTTCCCCCTCAGGAATATAAGGAACATTTCGAGAATTGCATAATAACCAGGCCCCTCTTTAATAATTGATTCTTTGTCCTCAAATGTTCGCTAGTCCTAGGGTAAAGATTGGCTTTTTAGATTAGGATAACACTTTATAGAGAGAAGTCTTGTTTTAGAAGGAGAGTTGTGTTTTTGGTTTTTTGTTTTTAATGACAGAGGGTGTGTGTGCTCACCAGAGAGAGGGAAAGCACCCCTCCTCCCCACGTGGTACCTGGTAAGGCCACAATCCTTTTTCTTCCATTTCTCTGTCCTGTCATGATCTTGAGTATGTATACACACACATACACCCACACACACACACACACATGTACACACTCACCACTCAGAGTGAGAGAGAGCATGTATTTCAAGCCACGGGGGCTGGTATTCAAACCTTGTTTTGGGTCTAGCTCCCCATGTATAGAACTTAACCTCTGTGCTACTGAGAGCACCTTTATTCAAAGGGGAGCAGAGTACAGTCATTAACTCTAGTGGATCAACCACCTAAAGAAACAGTCTTGCAGGGACCAGCAGTTGGCATAATGGCTATGTCACTGGACTGCCATGTAGTCGACTGCGGTTCAGGTCCCAGACCCGGTAGCTTAAACTCACACCGGGCACATGTGCATGTGTGCTCAAGACCCCAAGAGGAGAATTGAGGAGGAGGGATTGCGGCATGGCCATCTCCCTGGGGGGAGTGATTTCTCGCTTTCTGTCTCTCTGCCTCTCTCTTTTGCCCTATAGCAAAAACCTCTCCAAAAAAAAAGAAAAAGAAAAGAAAAGAAAAAAGAAACAGTCTTGTCTCACTAATCTGGGAGATTTGGAGAAAAGCTTTTTTCCTGGTGTTAACTTTTTGAATTGTGCTTTGATTTTCCTTTTTTATAAGCCTAGCTTAGAAAGAGATTGAAAAAAAATGCTTGATGTGGCAAAGAAATATTCGCAAGTCGGTTGGTGACATGGTGGGTAAGGCAGCTGGATCGCACATGGCCAAGTACACAACTTGAAACTCAGACTTGAAAACCACCCCCAGTGCATGTGCATGCATTCCCAAAGTCCTGAGAGGAGAAATGGAGGAGAAGGGATTGCAGCATCACCATTCTCTTTGCTAGGTCACTTTCTCTCTGTCTGTCTCTCTCTCTCTCTTTCTCCAGCAAGTGCACACACACTCTAACAAAAAAAAATGTTTTAAAAGGGAGAAAGAAAATACGTCTTAAAAAGATAAAAATAAGTATTTGCACTGAGCATCCTACCGTAGTTTATATTTTTGGCAAGATTCTAGCAACACAATCTTTCCTGAGCTATGAAGCCCCCAGTTTTTCATCTGAGCTACTCTTTGGACTTTGTGTTTTCTATACCCCCCAAAAGTGAGAACCTGCTGCCCATGTTCTGTGTACGTGAGGTCTTTGACAAGTTCATGAAAATGCCTACTGTGATTGGTTTTGTTTTGTTTTGTTTTTGCTATAGGGCACGTGCGCTCACCAGAAAGACAGAGAGAGACAGAGAGATAGAAAGCAAGAAATCACCCCCCAGGGGGGATGGCCACACCGCAATCCCTCCTCCTCCATTCTCCTCTCGGGATCTTGGGCACGCATGCACATGTGCCCGGTGTGAGTTTAGGCCACCAGGTCCGGGACTTGAACTGTGGTCTACTACATGGAAGTTCAGCGACATAGCCATTACACTAACTAATGGTCCCTGAGATTGGTTTTTGAAAACCATGTGCATGGTTTTCAACAAATTTCCATACCAAAATAAATTCTTTTTTTATTTTTTTGAGTTTTTTTTTGCTATAGGGCACATGCATTCTCCAGAAGGACAGAGAGAGACAGAGAGACAGAAAGTGAGAAATCACCCCCCAGGGGTGGTGGCCATGCCACAACCCCTTCTCCTCCATTCTCCTCTACATCGTATTTCCTTATATTCATATACAGTACCTTCATATTTTTTATTAGTCTTAAAGATAATCAGTTAGGAGATCAGCAGATGGCATAATGGTTCCATTGTTGGACTCCCACGTAGTTGACTGTGGTTCAAATTCCAGACCCAGCATCTTAAAACTCATGCCAGGCGGGGCTGACAGGTGGTGTGGTTAAAGGAGCTGGATTCCTAGACCTGGTGGCTTACTTTCTCACTTTACTCCTCTCTCTCTCTCTCTCTCTGCTCAAATTAAAAAAATAATAATAACAAATGGAATTAAATAAATAAATAATTCAAAAGCAACCAGACAAAAAAACTCATTCCAGGTGCATGTGCATGCATGCCAAAATCCCAAGAGGAGAATGGAGAAGAAGGGACTGTTGCGTGGCCACCTGCCCCCACCCCAGGAGGGTGATTTCTCAATTTCTTTTTTTTTGGGGGGGGGGCGGGGGAGAGGTTTTTGCTACAGGGCGTGTGCGCTCGCCAGACAG